TTGTAAATATGTTATCATTTTTCAAAAGCTGATTTTGTTTTTTAGTGTTTATAACACACATTATTTCTATTTCTTCCCCTTGGTGGTGTTCTATGACTTTCCTATGTTTCCATAGTTTGCAAATCGTCTCTTTCAATGATTACTAAGAAATGCCGCACAGTGTTAATTCAGTTTTCTTTTTAGTATATCAGTTTATCCAGGCTCTCTCGTTTTTCCCATAGTAATAATTACGCCAACCCAAATTCAAATAGTAACTATTTCATTTCAACCGAGTAGGCCTAAGTAAATGTTTGTGGCAACTAACTGTTAAATTAGCAAACTTATTGGCTGTTTACAATTAACATATGTTCTTCTTCTCACTTTTAATTTCTGACAACAGCTGGAGTTTCATAACAATATTTGTTTCCCATGTTAATCTTTTGGAGAAATACGAAACTTTAAAGGGCCCCAGGGCCTCACCCTCTAATTATTTCCCTAAAAAGAAAGTTTCTTGCACAACTTCACGTTACGCTCTTTCCAATGACACCAAGAACATGTAAATCGGTTCAGTAGTTTCGGAGGAGTAATTGTCACAAAAAACCTGCTTGCGTATTAAATAAGTATAGATATAAGTTTTCAGAACAGATCAACTGTTCAGCTTTGATCTAAGATCTAATGTATGTTTTCAATTTCAGGAAGCTGTTTGGTTCCTATCAAATATCACGGCAGGAAACCAAGCCCAAGTCCAAGCAGTCATTGATGCCGGCCTTTTACCCAAAATCATCAAGAATTTGAGCAAGGTTTGTATGTGATTGTAATACGATTCTAAACTGAACACACTTTTTTCACTTAACACGCTTTATACGTTTTATTTAGGCCATCTGAGTATTAAGGAAGCATCTAAAGCGCCTTCTGTGTATTCTAGATTTGACTAACCTACAATCTAAGTTGTATAAACCAAAACTATAAAATTAACCACTTTAGAATTTGATAGTTGATTCGTAATAGGGAATATCGTTTTAACTTCTTAATTTCTCAAACGATCCATGATTTTTTCAAACTGCAAGTAAAAAGTTGATTTTATGTAGAATCTGTAGAATGTAGCTTATTTCTGTTCTATCAATGTGTTCTATGAATCTATGGGCCGTTTGTTTTGATTTAACCTCTAAATTTAAGAACTATGAACACACTACAAAGAAGTGGATAAATATAGTCCACCATATCTCAACCGCTTCTAGTTAAAAGAATCCAACTGTAATGATTTGTTTTAAGTGTTACGTGTGGATTGCAGGGTGAGTTCCAGACACAGAAAGAAGCTGCGTGGGCCATCAGCAACTTGACCATCAGTGGCAACCGTGACCAGGTAGCTCGGTTGGTACAGGAAGGAGTGATCCCACCCTTCTGTAATCTGCTTAGCTGCAAGGACCCACAGGTAAAAACGGAACCAAACCTTATCAACAGTTGAATTTGTAAAGACCAATTTTTTTCAGGACGGATTTTTTTTTTTTTTTTTTCAATATTTGAGACAAATAGTACTCATGGTAAGACCTGGACCAGGGACCGATTTAATTTTTCATTTTGAGGTCCCTAGAGGCCAAAAACACCATCCGTTCAAATTCAATATGTGTGTGTCCGTTAGCACGATAACTCGCTACTATTGACGTATGGTCAAAAAACACTATTTACCTTCCCCGTAGCAGCAAACCTAAGCACTCATTAAATCTAATGTTATTTAAATAGGGAATATATATGTCTTATTTATGGAAATATTTTAGTAAAAATGTAATCAGACAAGTTGAAATTCGCTTAGTCTGCAGGTTTGCTGCGGCAGGGGGTATTTTTTTTAGAGCGAAGGTATTTTTTGATATGAGACTATTTTACTGACTGCAGGCTTTTTTCTTAAGAAGAATGTTGAATCCGTCATGGGGTAGAGGTGACTAAATAAATTACTCAGGTGTGAAATAATGGTTCGTTTATTAGCGGATATTAATCTCACACATACCGACAAAACAAACTCTTATAATACTAAATATCACAGAAGAATTCCCATTGACTAGCCAATTAATATTATTAGAGGGCTAACGATTAGACCAAAAGCTTGGATGTAAATTTGCACCTATCACCACATACCTACCATTAGTTATAGTCAGAGAGACATCCCAGCGATGTTGGATGGTCAAGATCTGGAGCTTCTCTGACTCTAGACTCGGTGGTTAGCAAAACCACCTTATCCAACCTAAAAGGTAGTAGGGAGCTCAACTTGTTACTTTAAAGTTTCCCTAATTATTGAAATCCTTGTTTGGATCTGGGATTATTTTACAATCTATAAATATCAAACTGATGCTTTTACTTATGGTCGAGCTCCCTGCAAACTATTAAATTAAACTGTAGGGGTAACGTTACACATAGGTTAGCTTTTACTCTCCTGCCTCATGTGCCTGGTTTTGTTATTTAGATGTATACAAAGTTTTGTTCAGCAATTTTGTGGTTTGTCTCACAGGTTATTCAAGTGGTGTTAGATGGTATCAACAACATGCTCAAGATGGCCGGACCACAGGTCGAGGCTCTGGCCAACATGATTGAGGAGTGTGGAGGTAAGATATAGCTGTACAATGCTTCTAAATGCAGTGCATGGCGTGAACTGGCCCCATTCCGAATTACTAGAAATTTTAGTCTATTCTAATATCTAGACGGTGGTGACGTCAAAATGGCGCTAAAGGATGGTGCAATAATAAGTGAAAACAGTTTTAACTGAGTTGTTATTAAATTTTATACTATACTATACTATACTTAATAAAGAGATTATTAAGATTAAGATTTCAGGTAGTTATTCATAATTTCTAATACATTATTGTATATTTTTACAATAACAAAAATTTACACGTAATGGTTATGTAGAAATTTAAATTTCCCCTTTTTATCTTAACTACAGTACAAGAAATTAAATAAATAGAGCAAAATTTATTTTGGCCTGAATAAAATATACCACAAAAATTTAATATGCCTGTGATGGAGCCAGATAATTGGGCATTTCGGACCATTGGATGCCAGACTAACGAAGGTTCACTGTACAACTCACTGTCCACTGTTTGCGTTTGTTTTTATTTAAGAACGATTAAAAAAATTATTCAGCTCTTTCAGCATTATTAGATTTAAAACTTATGTAAACTTTAAAACTGAAGTAAGTAACATATTCTGCCAGTATTACTCAGTTGGCCAGATTTATAATATTGTAAATGTGTTATTTCAGGATTAGACAAGATTGAACTTTTACAGAATCATGAAAATGTAGACATCTACAAGCTGGCTTATGATATAATTGAGCAGTACTTCTCTGAGGTTAGTATTCTATTTAGTCAAAAGACATTTTAAAAGTTGTGCTAAAGATTTTATCAGCAATGTGTTATCTGGCGAATTAGTGCTGATTCTTATTGATTTAATCTTTGATCAATAGAAACAGTAAAACAGTTTTTTTTTTATGAAGGATTAAGTGTAGTGTTGAACTCTCTTTGCCTACATTAAAAGTCTCCCAGGGGTCAAAATATTGTGTGTATGTGGCTTCATGTTCTATGACTTACCTCTGTGTTTCTTCTGAGGTAAGCTAGCTGCAATCTCTTCATTCTACATATCAAAATCCTGGCCTAGATCCTTTACTTTAACAAATCTAATATTAACTTGGGTGCAAGTAGACTTTTCATCCTATTGTATAATCTTAAACTTGTTTGATGTCAGTGTGTCAATGGTGACTTCCTGTATTGTTAGCATGTATCCATTAACCTTGGTGGTATGTTTTCTAGTTGGAGGAAGACGTCAACCTTGCACCCCAGACAGGTGAAGGCGGTTTCCAGTTCGATCCCAACACAAGTATACCTAGTGAAGGTTTCAAGTTTTAAATAACGCAACAGTCCTGTAATGATCGACATAATCGCTTTTGAATTTTAAGCTACTTTTGTAAATGACCCTACTCGATATTAGAAAGCGGTGTATATTTCTCGGCCATATTTTTTGTTATTTGAAATTGTTGTACATGAACGATTTAAGTCACAATCCCAAGGGTGCAAAACTCATACATAATTTCTCGAGTACTGTGATTTGTCTTTGTAATAAATATCATCATATTGATTTTATCGGCATAGACACATGTGAATAACCTGTTACCTCGACCGAGGTATAACAATAAAATAGATACTGATAAATTTATTTATACTTTTATTTTATGCACGGACCCTGTTTTTATTTTGGGGATTATCATCCTTTATGAAACATAATGTAATAAAGGTATGTTTCATTTAATATAAGGAGTTTAAAATTTTTCATCCTTTAAGCCCTTGCCACAGATTATGGGAGTAAAGGTTTATGGCAGATGGTAAATTTGTACTACAGACATGGAGTTCCCTTTCCTCTTTAACTTGAAACTTATCTTAATCCCTCATCTATATCCTCCTTGAAATTGAATTGCTGTCCAAAAACCCTAATTATTAATGCTAACTTCTTTAGCATTAATAAATTATTAATGCTAATTATTAATGCTAACTTCTTTAGCATTAATAAATTAGGGTTTTTGGACAGCAATTCAATTTCAAGGAGGATATAGATGAGGGATTAAGATAAGTTTCAAGTTAAAGAGGAAAGGGAACTCCATGTCTTTAACCAACTTCCAGCCTTTGAATAAAGCATAAGAATTAACCTTTTATAGAGAGGTACCTAATAAAACTATGGGTAGGCGGTAGGCTTAATAAGAAATGAACTTTAAATCTAATGTTTATTCAGAAACATGAACACATGGGAGTATTTTCTTGCTTGAGCAGATGATGAAAAATGACTGAAGAAGAGCTCTTAAAAACCTAATATGGTACAAAAGTTTTGATTAAAGTAGAAATCATATGATAGACATCTTAATGCACTACCAGCGAAAAAAGATGCTGAAAAAAAGTTTGTAAGTTATTATTTTAAGTTATTATTACATGACTATAAATAAATAAAATAAGACTAAAAATCTTGAAAACCTGTAATACCTGGGAACTCGTGAAAATAATGTTGTTGCAGTTAGAGCAAAATAACTCGGCATTTCAGACTTTCTCTTCTTTAAATCATAGAGTGGCAAAGTATTACAAAAATATAAAAAAAACTAAGCACAGTTATTCGGAGACGGGCGTAGGTGTGGTTTTGTCTTGAGGACGAGAGCATTGACAGAACTCAGATTGCAGTAGTCGCTCTGTCTGGCCTGTGCGAAGTTTGACTGTCGTCTGCGGAGGGAAGTTGACTACTAGCCGCAGAGCTCCGTGCTTCAACACTACGCTGTGTGTCTCCACCATTGGGAACCTGCCAATGGGACAGTTGGAACATCAACACTGAAATGTCATTTTATACACGATTATCTAGAATTCCACCCAGCTTTAGTAAACAGTCTTGGCTAAAGAAATAGACAATCATGGTCAATAAGCTACACAGGTCATTGAACTATTTTACACACACCCACTTTACTCCCTATACATAGGTAAAATATATGCACCCTATAGCGCTATCTCAATGAATGGATTGGAGGGACGTAGTTAAATAAATCTTCCTATAATTTTTTTATGTATATTAATCATGTGTTGTAAAAATGAAATGTTAAGTTTTTGTTTAAAAAGGTTATCCAGCAGTCCACCACTAATTGTGGTACTTAATTGCAGTAAAAATTATGACTGCCAAAAATAATAATAATTAATCACATTTTCTTAGCTCAACGGAATAAGTAAATGTTAAAACTAATATTAGTATCAGCTAATTTGCATGTTCATTGATTGATTTTTACCTTATTGAAAAGGTGTTTCTAAAGTAAATAATTCATAAATAAAAATACTTTTTAAAAATGCCACGTTTTTAAACGCACTAAAAAGTATAAAATAATTTATTAAATGTTGAGAGAATAAATACTTGTAAGATTTAAAACAAAAAACGTGGGGCGCATGCTGATTTACAATTAACTTCACCTATTGAACTATTATGATCTATTGCATGCGCCCCACGTTTTTCATTTTAAATCTTACAAGTTACAAGTATTTATTCTCTCAACATTTAATAAATTATTTTATACTTTTTAGTGCGTTTAAAAACGTGGCATTTTTAAAAAGTATTTTTATTTATGAATTATTTTCTAGTTTTTAGTCTTTAATGAGTAAATATGTTAAATCTATTTTATATTGCCTCTAAATACATAACCAAAACCTTATTATCTATAATCAGATGTTTGATCTTTACTTTGAAATGATTGTTTTATATTTTTAGATCTCGGGAGCAGAACCTGTACCTCTTAACCTCTGCTCTTCTAACAGTCAAATTTAAGTATTTACAGCTGACTGAAATTAATTTTTATGTTTACATTCTTTTAAAATGTAAACATGGAAAAGTTGGAAGCCAAAGGGGCGTAGCCCAAGGGAAATATGAAAATTAAATTATATAATATTGCATTGTCATCCATTTGTGAGCTATGTTTCAAGTTTCAAGTCTCTAGCTCATCGGGAACTTCATTTAAAATTGATATCAAAATTTGTAGGAAAGCGAGCTAATAAAAACAAGCCCATGGGGCGTAGTCCAAGGGAAATATGAAAATTAAATGATATAATATTGCATTGTCATCCATTTATGAGCTATGTTTCAAATTTCAAGTCTCTAGCTCATCGGGAAGTATCAAAATTTGCAAGAAAGCGATTTAATAAAAACATGCCCATGGGGCGTAGCCCAAGGGAAATATGAAAATTAAATGATATAATATTGCATTGTCTTCCATTTGTGAGCTATGTTTCAAGTCTCTAGCTCGTCAGGAAGTTAGTATAAAATTGATTTCAAAATTTGTACCGGACAAGAAAGCGAGCTAATAAAAACGTTTTAAAATAGTGATTCACCTCTGACTGGTCGTTTGTCCAGTACTCGGCCGAGATAATTCTGTGGTACTTGGTGAACTCTTTGGAGTTGTATTAAGCTTGGCTAGTGACTCACTTGAAGATTTCTTTGTACTTGCCTTAGTATGCTGTAAAAAATACCAATCTGTTGTATAAATGTAACAGTTTTTAAAAATCTGACACAATAATGACTTTTGGTGAAGGGAGGTCAACTCAAGCGCCTCTTAAAATTTGTTGATAATTTAACTTTTAAACCACTACGGTAATTTCTACTAGGTGTATTCTTATGGTTATTGGAAATGAAAATTATAACTTTATAACCAAAACGCTGCACACTTGATTCTAAGTATCATGAAAATAGCTTTATTTACAAGTTTTAAACAACAATATAAAAATGTTCTAGCCACGTTTTCTTGTTAATTTAACTAGTCAGTAACTTACGGTAGAGTCTAAATCTTCCATGAAGGATGAGCTTCTTCGAGACAGCCTTTTCTTCGGTGCCTCCCATGGTACTCTATCTTCTGGGATGTGTATCTGAAAATGAAACACGTTAAGACTCAAAATTAAATTTTAGGGGCTAAAATGATTCTTTTCACACAAGCTCAATGGAAAAAAGCGAGAGTCAGCAAGGCTTTTTAAACGTGTGATGAACTATATTTTATGTCATTCTGCACAGTTATTTATCAAAATTCTTAATTGTTAATGATATAATTAGAATAGATCGCTTTCAGTTGAAAAAATCATTTAATATTAATATTACCTGAGCTGGCAGATGACTAGGGTTGCAGCCCAGGCATTTTTCTTTTCTTGTCTGAAGACTTCTTATAGCCTCCTCCAAATCCTGCCTCTGCTGTTCCTTATGATCTTTTACGTGATATATTCCTACTCGATGGAGGAAACTTGGAAAAAACCATAATTTTTAAGTATAGCTTTTCTGTACTATAACATATGGGGTGGAATTGGTAGAACATGTGCTTTAGTTCAAAACTGTTCATTTCATCCAACACATACAAACTAGAAAATGGCATTACTATCATTTTTGTTTCGTGTAAAGGCTTATTGCAGACATTTTCATTCCTGAACAATAAAATGAACAACGTGTTGTACATTCTTTCCTATCTAAAGATAGGAAGAATGTAGAATGTTGGAAATCTTATGATCAATTACAGGACTTAAGATAATATGTTTTAGTTAATCTTATTATTGTAAACTGAATGATATTTTATATCATTTTGACGTAAACCAATACATGTAAATACGCCTATTCATGGTTCAAGAAACGAGTTATTGAATTACTTATCAGTGAAGGGAAATTTCTGTGATTTTTAGTCAATAACTTGGACCAATTACCATTCTTTAAACTAGCCTTTCATTTAAATTCAATTTTTAGGATACAAAAGTTTCACTTGATTGCATTGTGTACTTATTTAACAGCAAATTACCTCTCACATTCTTTCCAAACCTAAAGTGAATTAAACTATTTGCTAACCAACAGTTGCAGGAAGTTTTATTTCAGAATGAAAATTCTATGTAAAGTAATTTTGAAAACCTTAAATCAAAATATTTACTTTGGAGGAGCCTCGACCCAGTAGTTGTCAAGACGGTTTGTCTTCATGATTCCGCTCAGGTGTTGCAAGAGAGTAAAGTTGTCATGGTGGATTCGTTCACATCTCTCCGCTTCCTTTACAAACACTTTAATTATTACTATACTTTGTTCAAAAAATTTAGGCGGTTTTAGGGAAAGAAATCTTGACCCTTACCGTTTTAAATTAATAGCTCAACAGCTGATTAAGCAACATATATTAAGTACAAAAAAGTGGTGGGGGAACATTCCCCAAAACCATCTAAATATTGTGAACAGAGTATAACTGGATGAGACATCACCGCAAACATTCATCCTAGTGATTTTGATAGGTTGTCTTTAATTTGTTTAATATATAGACACTATTTAAAAGTTTCAGAATGGATTAAAATTTTGTAGTAAGTAACATAATTTTGAATAGAAAAACATTTGAGAGATTATAGTCTAAATTCTACTTTTTTGTGAACCAGAATTTGTATATGGGAAAAAAGCTACTGGGAGTCAAATTAGCTCCCCCTTCCATAGCTATAAACTATTTCCTACTGTTTATAAACATTAAATATATATTTAAATTACCGTAATACCTTGGTGGTTCCAAGTTTGTGTGTGCAGAATAGCTTATAGACTGTTAGTTATAACATAAAAATTGTGTAACAAACTTGTCAAAGAAAAATAAATCAATACACAGATTATGTTCACAAGAATTTTGGTTTTAATGGTGATTTTCCCATAAAATAACAGAAAAATAAGATTTTCTCAAAAATGGCTAGAATGATTTTGATAAAACTTTAGTATGTTATAGCCGTTTAGATTCTGAACAAAATGGTATAACTCCCATTGCTGTAAAAATTACGGTTCAAAAGTTATTGTAACTTATGTTATTTTACCATCAAAACCCCATAAAGTAGCCTAACAGAAAATCAAATTTTTGAAAAAGTGCCGGTTTTGATTAAAATTAGTATGTTATGGTCATTATAGTTCTAAACGGTATAATGCAACCCACCATTGGTGTAAAATTTAGGGTTTAAAAGTTATTGTGACTTTTGGGATTTTTCCTATAAAATATCATAGGTAACGCCTACCCATGATAAATGTTGTTGACAAGCTACTGGGAGAAAGTATGTGTCAGATTGCTGATACCGTTTATTCCCTTAATACTAAGCCCCGCTCTCTTTCCTCCAAAAAATAACAGATATATTGTAGTATTTAACCTTGTACACTGTACAAATCCCAGGGATTGTACACTGTACAATGTACAGGGAGGGGAGAGAGTTTACCTTTTGAAGCTTTTTAAGTTTGCAGGTGACATGATGTCGCTGTGCCGGTGGCCGGACATCAATTGCAGGTAGGGCCGTCTCTACCTGCCAATCACATAATGTTGTAGTCATAGTCTTGAACCATTCGTTATAAATTCCATTAGTAAATATACAAAGAAAACATCTATTTGTGTGTAATATGAACAAGGGCACTGCAGGAAATTCTTTCTGGAGGGCAAATGGAAATTTTGTTCCAGGAATTTGTACAGAGAGTCTGACCATGCAACTAACTAGGAGGTGAAGGGAAGAAGGGGTTTGGGCACCCCCTCAAATAGTTTTTTTGGAAATCAAGTGCTAATATTTAAATTCATTGTTAAGCCCCTGAGCTGGAGTCTGTCCCCGACCCGCGGCGTGACCGTGTGTTTTGTTCGAGCAGGCCTGCAATCTGCATGTCTAAAGCTTTACGTGTTGTAAATGTATATGTTCCGTGTCGTGTCGTATTTGTGTTACGTGTTTATTTAATTGAACATTGACGAAACCATATGGTGAATAAAAACTTCACTAGTACTCAGCTGAAGATGGCAATGTGTCGAAACATGTACTGAAACATGAAATGAAATTCAATGAGCTATTGTCGTAAGTAATCTAGTCTTACACTAATATTTAAGAGATGTTGCACACAAAAACTAGTATTACACAGTAAAACAGCAATTTTTTATCTTCTCTGTCCAGCCCTCTTTGGTGACGCCAATAAACAGAACTTTTTATTGAAGTTCTTGTTTGGTAGGTTAAATTTTATTTCTCTTCTTATTGTTTTAGATTTGAATTACGATTGTATATCAAAATCTCAGATTGATTTTGGTTTCAGTTTAATGATTATAAGTTGTATAGAGTGTCTGTATACCTACTTGCCGTAATATAGGAATCCTGTTTCATATACCTAATTAGAAATTGATTTAACAAATACTCCCAATATACGTGTGCATTAACGAGTGTTATTCTTACTTACATTTAATTGAAATCACAATCCATAGTTTAAGGTAAAAGATATTTTTTTTTGTTTTCAGAAAGAAGATGTGGTATTGACTTAATAGTTCTATTGATTGGTCACCTTTTATGTAGAGAGACTAACTTACTTTGTGTCTATGGTGAATGTACCTCCTCTCCTGCCATGGTCTAATCAACAGATTTTCTCTTCTAGTCAACATCTTAATAAAGATTTTATACAACAAAGCCAAAACTTAAACTTACACTTTTTAAAAAAAGTTGTTTTAATTCATTATTCCCACCCATTTACACAATGAACCCAAACAACCAAGAGTCTAAATCTTTGATAAGTTGCCTTGACAACCATCAAACTAGAACTGAAAAGAATAGCGGAATTCAACTGCAAGTAAAACAACATAACAATTTATTTTATTTGGAATTACAATTAAATAAAATTTTGTTTCGTGATATATGTTTAGTGAGAAATTACCTACTGTAAATAAATAATTAAAATGTATATATTTTTTTATGTATGGTGTGTGTGTGTCGGTGAATACAATAACTCGAGTAATTTTTGTGCGATTTCCATAAAATTTTGTATTAATGTGTAGGTCTGGATAAACTGGTAGCTTTGCATTTTGCAAACAAGCAAGATCGAGCAATGGGAACCCAAAAATGTTTTTATTTTTCAAACTATCACCTTTAAAAAATGAAAATAGCCAGTTTTTGTTAACGCAATTTTGTATAGCTAAATAAACAAATACTGTAATTTTGGAATATTAAAGCGTTTTCATACAATTATTTAAAAATTAGGATAAAAGGAACGTTTGTTTTCCTATACAAAATTTATGTGGACAATGAAATAAGCAAGGTCGATGGAAATTTTTTTTTTGATACTGTATTTTGAAATAGCCATGCTCATTAAAAGAGAATTCGGGAGGATATGTGATCTCTTCACCCAACTCAGAAAAACTTTAATAGTCACAAATGGACAAACACAAGACCAAGTTGCCGCATTGGGACTGGAGAAAATTAAACTTTTTTTCTGTTACCACTCAGAAAAAAACTATTTTCTAACTGCCTTAAAAATTGTTCTTTGAAAATATATACCGGCTGTCCCATAATTCATTATAGTCCCCCCCCCCCCAATTAACTTTTGAATGACTGCATATATTCAAACGAGCTTTGATACACGCGTTACTAGGGTAACGTAAAGTACTTTTGGTGGTATTTTGGAATTCACCCCCCACACCCAAATAGGGTTGCTGGGGGTCCAGTTTGGCCAAAGTTTCTGTACGCACGACCAGATCTGGTTGGGTCTAGGCAAGGGGGTTGGCAGGGGTACTTTTGTGAAAACATTTGTGTCTCTCTACTCACTCACCCCTACCCCCAGCTCTGCCCATAACCAGTACTCGTATGTTTTAGTTTGGCTAGTAGCGACCCGTCCCCGCGCATAGGAGTTTTGTTTGAACTAAAACTTTAAAATTTAAAGGCAACCCTTATCAAGTAGCACATTATTTTAAAGAGCTTCAAAAAAGAAAATTGATGCCGCAAGTCCTATGAATTTTTAAAAAGCTTTGGTAAGAAATTTTAGAGTTAATTTAACTGAAACTTGACATTCCTGGTACTTTAATTTTTTTTTCATTGTCTGCAAAATTCAAATAACCTTCAGTGCACGTGACCAGGGTGATGTCTCCAACTTTTTACCATGATTTTGAATTTTCTCACCAACCTCTAAGGTGATGGTATCAACAAAATCAAAACCCCACCAGCAAGCCCTATTTGGGGGTGGTTGGTGAAATTCAATTCATGTTAAAAGGTAGGTATGTGACATCACCCTGCTCTCGTGTGGTGTACTGAAGGTTATTTTAAAATTTACAGCCATGACAAAATTATAAGTGATGGAATGTCAAGTTCCACTTAAATTAGTGTTTAAAAGTTTCTTGTCATAACTTTTTGAAAATTTGTCGTATCAAAGTCAGGTTTGTGGCATTAACTTTCTTTTTTAAAGCTCTTTAAAATTATGAGCTACTTGATAGGGGTGCCATTTAAAAATTTTAAGTTACCCCCAGCAACCCCAATTTGGGAGATGGGGTGAATTCCAGAAGGGGTAGCGGATTTTTATCCCCCTGGAATTTTACCCCCTGGGCAAACGTGACGTCACAAACCAGGGGGTAAAATTCCGGCCGCGAACTTTTGAGTTTCGCGACATCAGCTCGATGGATTAAACGCGGAATTAAACATAAATTTTCACGGTTGTGAATTTAATCAGGTCACATCAAATTATAAAAACCTAGAGTGTACGGCCCGGATTTTTACCCCCGGAATATTACCCCCCGGAATTTTACCCCCGGATTTTTACCCCCGGAATTTTACCCCCGGAATTTTACCCCCCGGATTTTTACCCCCGGAATTTTACGCCCTGGCCAGATATATTAATTAGTGAGAATGATTAATAATCTTCATTCTGTTTTAATTTAATAGTAAACATTTTATTATTAAGTAGCCTATATTAATTTATTTGTAACATTAACTAACCGAACAGGTTTTTAATTTTAATTTTGAGATTCTAGTATTAGGATTCGATCTTTGAAGCTAACAGTTGGTTAATATGACGTATAAACAATCGACTGAATGATAATTGTTTCGAACATTTCTTTACAAAATAGATAAATAAATATAAGCTACTAAATAATGAAACGTTTACAATTAATTAAAAACAGAAATAAGAAAATCAATCATTCAATTTCTAGAATCTGCCAGGGGGTAAAATTCCGGGGTGTAAAAATCCGGGGGTAAAATTCCAGGGGTAAAATTCCGGGGGGTAAAATTCCGGGGGTAAAAATCCGGGGGTAAAAATCCGGCCCGTACATCTTCAGTTGTCTAAACGCTAGTTATACGGACAGGGGGTAAAATTCCGGTTTTTATCGCTAATCTAATTAATCACGCACGGACTATTTTTATTAGACTTCCAAATCCGCGGGGGTAAAATTCCGGCCGCGAACAAACATTTGGCCACTCAGGTTACTACGTCATAGTGACGTCAGCTTTGCTCAGGGGATAAAATTCCAGGGGGATAAAATTCCGGCGACCCTTCCAGAATACCACCAAAAAGTACTTTACATCACTGATGTATCGATTATCGAAGCTCGTTGAATATAAGCAGCCGTTCAAAAGTCAACGGGGGGGGGGGGACAATTATATGGGACACCTCGGTGACGTCATGACTATAATCCGTGACAACGGCAGTTTATTGACATCCCTCCGCAGTCGCGAAGACACAACCGCATAATCACCGCACGATCACGAAACAATCAATGTCACCTCCCGTGATCTCGGTAGTCTTGCTTCATGACATTCCTTAGCGGTCGCAAAGACATCATCACCGCCATTATTATTGCCATCTTGATCTTGTTAATTTAGTTTAGTACCAAACTGTAATGGAGAAACCGTTGGGATCAGTAAATAAACCACCTCCTGCTGTGAACTGTGACCGTAGCAATCTTTCACAAAAAACATTATATAGTCTTCCATCTCGTGGCTGCGTCAATATCTTGACATTGGGTCGTTGCGACGAAAATACCCTACCTTTTTTAATTAGCCTTACCTACCTTTTTAATTAGCCTTAATGTTTCAAGTGTAGAATTTATTAAGTAAAAACGGGTTTCAGTGCTACTCATAAAAAATTTGGCAATATACTTATATACATTTTCCTCTAAAATCCCAGTGTAAAAAGTGCGCCATTGCCCCTCTCTCTATGGCCACTCCTGAAATAGGGAATAAACCTCACATGTTTAGTCTATGGTATTATCACTAACTACACAACAAAAAGCAGGGTTAAATATTTTTCTCGACTTTTGTAGAAATGGAATAAGTACCTACACATTAATGTTGTGATATAATGCGTGTAAAATGTACAAAGTTTTATTGTGTAATATCTGTAATATTTTACCATAGTTCAGTTTTCATATAATTAGGTAACATTGTCTATGGTTGCTAGCTATGGTGGCATAGACTAGACCATAGACTAACCAACACGTTTTATCTATGACTAGACTAACCTAGGAGGAATTCAATGCCCCACGACGAGACGAGTTGCCGCCACTGCGGTTGCCGACTGGCAGTTGCGCGAGGAGAGGATACAAAATACACTGTTCGGCCACTGCGTAGTGACGGGCAACTGCAGTGGCTGCGTGTGAAAGATCCCATTTAAAATAATGTTAAAGCTGTGGCGGGCAACCTAGTGGCACACACCCCTAATTTTAAAGAGTAGAACATTTTAAACTCCTCTTAAAATCCTCATAGAGACCAACCAACTAGCTTTGCCCAATACTGTACATTTGCTGTACAAGCTATTTTCGTTGTCTTTGAAATAATGAGTTTTTTTAGCTTCCTATAATCTTGTTCTGTCTGTCTGTATCTGATCTGTGTAGGTCTATGTCTCTGTTTCGTGCTTTCTTCTTTTCGTCTTCTGTCAAATAATAATGTCAAAATAATCGACTGTTCGGATTGAACGTTTTGAGTGGTGAAATGAGGTTAAATAACGTTGGTTAAAAGTGATCATTATTGCAAAACAATCATAGCCTACTGTATTCTCGGTGTAGCTTAGAGTGTTTGTAAGCTTGATTATCCTACTATATAGTATCAACTCCGTTCCTTTGTAATAAGTGAAAGGAAACACATAACAAAATGACAACTGCTGCGAGGCCTACATTTGAACCTGCCAGGGGTGGGCAAGGAAGAGGTGAAAAGGATTTGAGTGCTATCTCAAAACAATATTCAAGCAGAGATTTACCTGGACACACAAAACTCAAATTCAGGTAAGTTAAAATATAAGTATCCCTCACATTTTAGAGGAACAGGACTTAAGTTAAAATCAATGGCTTAGAGAATTTGCAGTTAAGTTAGCCTTGTCCTTTTGCTTGATCATAAATTTAATTTACTAACCATCAATCATGTTCATGTGTGAATCATTAAATATCACTAAAAGGGAAACCTTAAACGCCGAGGTAGACTAGGCTAGGATAAATTGTTTGGTCCTATCCTCCTAGCCCCTAAAGAAGATTCCATCACCACTTACCATCATTACATGTATAGCCTAGGTATGTATCTACCGTCTTGTGAGTCGACATTATAAGTGTAAACGGTTACACTTCCATATCTGTTGGCACAAACAACCGAATGATTAATATTGATTATTCGATTGTTTAATTCGATATATCGTTTGGTTAGTTAGGTTAGGTTAACCTTACCTAACTAACCAAACAATATATTGAATAATCGATACATCGATCAATATTTTCTCGGTTGTTTGTGCCAACAGATATGGAAGTGTAAACATATTATTACAAGTGTAATTAAGTTAGATGTATATTTTGTTTTTCAGGTAACTTTCTGAACGCCAATAAGTTAATTAATTACCCTAGGCTATAGGCCAGCAATTCCCAACCCGCAGTGTTCCGTTGGTGTGCCGTAAACTGTATGCAACACTTGGAATGATTACCTATCACTTGGATATGTGGATAACAATTTTACTCTTGGACTAGGCAGCTTGAGAGTTCCGACAATAACTTACTGTTTATTTTCCCAACTATATACAGAGACAGAGAGATAAACGGCACAGTGTGACTTAAAAATGTAAACAACGGGGTAGGGCCTACAGTTTCTTAACTGGGTTATGCTAATATCAATGGAAACTATCAAATTGAAAATATTGATATTTTAAACTGTATCAATTATAAAATTAAACCGTCATAACCTAACCTAACTAACCAAACTTGCTGATAGTGAAAAAATCGAATAAAGGTTTACTAATCGAATCAATAGTTTCAATCGAATATTAGCATAGCCCAGTTAAGAAACTGGACCCGAACAATATTTTTTTTTGTTTCACAATACAATGCAAATATTACTATATCTAGTTAAGTTTAAAACAATTTTTTAACAGGCGAGCAGGTCAACAATCACTCCTCCTAAACTGATTGTCATGTTTTTGGTGTCATTGGAAAGAGTGAAAATGTGAAGTTGTGCAGACAATTTGTTTAAATGGTAATAATTTGTGAGTGACATCCGAGGGCCTCTTAAATTTGATTTCCCCCCATAATATTAGCATTGGGAAAAAAATATAAGTTTTAAGCAAACGGCTGGATAGAGTTACACAGTTTATCAGTTGGCCATTTTGGCTTTGGAAAACACAATACACGTGAATGTCAGTATTAGGCTGATAAAACCACCTCTAATTTTTCTAAACTATTAAACTTACTTTTGGTTTAAAATTTTTTTTGTATATCTTTTTCTAATTAGGCATAGGTAAGTTACTCATTTGCTAGATTTTGAGCAACATATTTACTAGTATATTTAAATACTGGTATGCGCTAATCAAGTGTGCCTTAACTAAATTTGGATCAATTTAGTGTGCCACGATGTAAAAAAGATTGGGAATCACTGCTATAGGCCTTTGGTACCCAAAATTTGATAGGTCTACATAAAATCATACCAATATACTATATAATCTTACTGATATTATAAATGTGAAAGTTTGTTTGTTTGAAGTTCAATCACACATTAAAAAGTGTTATGATTGTCACAAAAAACTGCTTGCGTATTAAATAAGTAATATAGATATTTTTAACTTAATAAATAATTTGTGATAGGTATTACTTAATACTTTAATAGGCCTACTTTTTAACGAAATGGCGACCATAGAAAGTAGGTATTTTAAGCCAAGTATGAATGGGGATGAGTGTAGGATGAGTGACACGATCTTGTAGTCTTGTTAGTGACTAAGGCCGACTTATTCCTTAGACACAGCTCTTAATTAATTCCCATAGGCTACAGCTAATGGCAACTAAGGGACCTAGTATTGCGCGAATGATTGATAGTTAACTTTTTTCTATTATTTAAGTACATAATGGCTATGGAAGGTGTGTTATACTACAGCGTGCTGATAATTTAAAGAACCAAATTTTCTTAGACCGTGTCCTCTCCATTGCAAACGTGAACCATGAGTATAACTGCAATAAGAATTTTATACTTATACGTCAAACCCTTCTCTGCTAGTTTTTAGTAATAATTTTGGCTACCCCTCTCTAATTTATAATTACACACAGTAGTAAACTTTTTGTTGTTGTACAGTTGGGCTAACTTTTAAACTTTGGTAGTCTTTGATAATACGGTAATGTAGGTTTTATATATATCAGCATGACCTAAAATCTATTATTTTGTAAAGTCATCTGAGGGAGTATGTATGATTTACAGAGAACATGGGCAAGGTACAACTGATGAACTGCGTGGTCGTGACTTCAGAAGGGAATTGGAGGAACGTGAGAAAGAAAAGGAGAGGGGAGGTCGGCGCATGCCTGAACCCAGAGATTCGTAAGTAGAAAAATATGTTTTATAATGTGGATTTAAAAAAAAAGCCGGCCACTTTCATTTTAATATTCTGAAATTCAATGCATTCATGCATTGTTATATTGCAAAAGTAGCCTTCACTTTCTTGTAATCAAGCCTAGGTCGTAGAACCTATAAGATTGGATAAAGTTACACTTCTACTTTCTCACATGAGGATGGGTTCGGATTCCAGATCCCCTGAATGTCTTTAGGAGCTACTACCATAGGTTGGCTAAGATTAAGACCTGGGACCGATTTAGGTACCTAATTTTTCATTTCAATTTTCCCATAGGCCAAAAACACTAAATGTGCTTAATCTTGGTCCCATTTTGATGCAATTTGGCATGAATGTGTTGGGCTGGATGAACTTGAATGAGTTTATGAACCAGCAAGATTTGTTAAAGAGAATGGGGTGTAGGCCTAATGGTGTGGGCCTAATGGTGTGGTGGGCCTAATGTTTCAAAATACTGGGTGTTTCAGAACTCCCTACCAATATTTTAGGGCATTGTTCCCGGGTAAGAATCATAGGTATCTAAATATCATATTTAAATTGTCCGGAAGTCCTTGGTTACTCACACAGCCGCCATTTTGTTTTTTTCCACTCATCAATTTTTTCCTACATAATGGTTAAATGTAGGAAATTGGAACTTTGCACAAACATTTTTGGCAACTAGACAAAGTTATAGAAAAATTAGGACAAAAATTAAAATTCATGAAACAAAATGGCGGCCATTAAAATGTTTGTTTCTTAAATATCTTAAAAACCGTTGATTTCAACAAAATTTTACAAGAACAACTTTTTTTAAGCAATTTAATTACAAATCAATTGACTCCTTATTTATTAATATTGGACAAATTAACTGAGATATGGCAGCTTTAGTGATACATGACCGCTGGAGGTTAGTTGAAGTGCATACGGCATACATGAGGCATACGGCTTAAGTCTGCCCTAACAATACAACAATCACCGTCCTCTTTGCAAGTTATTTTTAAGCGATTTTAGATTATTTTAAACAATAATAAAATATTACATACGTAACCCCAAAACTGTATTTTTATCAATTATCTATTATGTATTAGGATGGCTTCAAAATTGCACACCTTTTTACCGTCTTAAAAATTCACACAAAACACCCAAACCTTTTTGCTGTGGTGAAAGTCAACGTACTTGTTTACAAACTAATCAGCTGATTTATTTGTAGTCTGAAGATGTTAATCATTGTTTATTCAATGTAGTCAGTTCCTCTAACCTTTTACACTGAGTGTACACTTTAAAAGTGGGTGTAAAAAGTTTTCAAAATTTTGACATTAATGACAATAAACAAAATTTGATCAAAATAATCACATGTAAATTTTTATAGCAATAAGCGGCTGAAGCTAGATCAGGTACCTGCAGCAAGTTTGGACGCTGACGATCCGTTGAACGAGGATGACTCTGATGACGGGGACAGTGACGACGACACCGCACAGTTGCTAGCTGAGCTGGCGCGCATCAAGAAGGAGCGAGCCTTGGAGACTCTGCGTAAGGAAACGGAGCGGCGACAGGAAGAGGAAAGGATCAGAATGGAGAACATATTGAGTGGGAACCCACTATTGAACTACTCTGCGCAAGCAACTAAATCTGATCTTAAGGTAAGTTTGAACAAACTTATTGATTTCAGTCAAAATTTCAAGGTCTGGATTTTTTTTTAATAAATACAAATATAGCCTATTTACAATTTACACTTTAACATTATCCTTTTCAAAATACTCTCAACGGGTTTTTCACTGTTAGAAACAATTTTTGATGTAATATTTTGAGATGGCTACCAGCTTCTCTCTTGTTATTTCTTGATATCCAAGGAAAATTGTTTCCACTATAAACTGTAGGTCCCTTAGTTGCCATTAGCTATATGGGCTATTAATTAACAGCTGTGTCTAAGGAATGTCGGCCTTAGTCACTAACAAGACTACAAGATGGCTCCACTCATCCTACACTCATCTCCATTCATACTTGGCTTAAAATATCTACTATGTATGGTCGCCATTTCATTGAACAGAACAGTAACAGTATCTTCAATGGTGTCAAATCATTGTCCTTTCATGCCTCTCTTCATACATGGATGAAAAAAGTCACACGGAGCCAGGTCAGCACAATCATCTCGTTTTTAGCCAAAAAGAGCAAAAATTGTATGGCTCTGTGTGCAGGTGCATTGTCATGGCAGAATAACAGGTTTCCTGTCTGTCACAGATCAGGGGTTTTTTATCACTGCTGCGCAATCTTCATAAAACTTCTAAATAGAAGATCTTATACATGGTCTGACCTAGGGGAACAAACTCTGAGTGGACAATTCCTATGACATCAAAAAACAACGCAGCATTGTTTTTTGGAGGGATGATAATGGCGTCTTCCATTGGCTTGAGAGTTGCTTTGTTTCTGGGGGTGTAAATTCAATTTAATTCAATTAGTTTATTCACGGCAGATACATAAACTAACGGCAGTTTTCATACGGGAGATAACAAGCAATAAATAATGTCTTCTTTGTAAGATGTTTTTAACATGGGAACAGGTTTCAGTTCCAGCACCATTTTTACCAAGTAGAAAAAAAGATTTCAAAGCTTCTTCCTTCATTCCTTGCCATCGCAAAAAATGAAACATTAGAAAAATGGTGCCAGCAAAAACTGTCACTACAGAAATAACACAACCAGCCAGCTGGCCTAGCGCCTGAAATGCATACTAGCTAAACATACTAGCATGTGGAGCTAAGCTCCACGTATGGCCATTCGGGTTATTTTGTTCTCCCATCGTATAACTGGTTAATTACAACACACTAGGCTAATAAGCATCTATGTAGATACAGTATACCCTCACAGGACCACTATCATCAGATAACCTAATAGAATCAACTGACAGTAAAAGTATGCAGCATTATCATTTCTACAGCAGTTATAAGTTTGCAGAGAGTTTATAACAAAACTTTTTTCAGTGAATTTACTGTACCGTTGAATGATAACCAGTCTCTTTTACTTTGTTAGAAAAAACAAACAGGAAGTTGAATTTAACCACACTATTATCATTACTTTATTTGTAAAATTACTTACTAGATTGTAGGCCTACAATCACTCTCTAAATTTTGTCCAAAAATGTCCGGCTCATAACAAACTTAAACCTGGAGTAAACACTACATGGACTATTCTATTTTACTATTGTGATAAGAACGGTAACAGAACTTAGGCAGAAAACCTGTCCTGTATTTTTATATGTCAATCCGAATTACAGTTCATCCAGAGGGGCCACTGTACTTGCCAAATAGGTAAGATTAACACAATAGAGATTAAGTTTAATTGGAAAAGGTTAATTGCCCGAGAAGTGTGCTTCTTTAGAGCTTAAATTAGTTGTTGTTTCAAGATTTACATTTTCTCTTCAAATCAGTTGCTTTAAAAATGTAACTGATGCACAATTTTTAGAATTTTAAGTTTTTGTTTTCTTTAACTATATCTTGCAACTTTTCAGTGGCCATCAACTATGATTATTATGATAGGTCAATGCCCAACCGACTTTCGTCGATTCTAAATCTATAATATACCTTTTAAAATATTAAATTTATAATTATACTTTTGCTGAAAATTTGTAATTCATGTTCACGTTTATTTTCAGGTGAAACGTCGGTGGGACGATGACGTTGTGTTCAAGAACTGTGCTCGATCCGAGCCGGAGAAGAGCAAGAATACATTCATCAACGACTCACTTCGGTCAGAGTTCCACAGAAAGTTCATGGAAAAATATGTAAAATAAGAGTTTCCGTGCAGTGTTTAATAGTGTCTCGGTCAGTCTTGAGATGGACGAATCACGAAATAAAATTGACTTGATAGTGTTGAAATCCGTAAATACATGACATAACTTGCAGTGTTTTAATTATTATTTTTTTTTTAAACAGAGTAAGTAATTTGATTTTGTGTTTTCATTTTGTGTAGGCCTACATAGAATTAAAAGAAGAAATAACCCATCAAAGCATAATTTTATGCATAAAAGTAATTCTACACACCAGACATCATTCACCACAGAAGTAATCAATTATTTGTCGTAAATTGACGTAAAAATAAAGTTGTTCTTTGGTAACAAATTTGCATTGTTTCTATGACCCGCCAAAAATCATAACGTCCAACTTCTTCACACTGTACTCTTACAAAGAATAATTCATCATTCATTAGGAAACATTTTAGAAAAAAGGTCTCTTTCTACACTGATTTTAAATGAGGAATTTAAATTATATTTTTTTAAAGTGAAGAGATGGACTCTAATGTGAAGGAAAATGAATATAAATCACAAAATAAACTATATAAATTTATTTACAATTTCATAAACTTATAAATATGGCAACAAAAATCAAGGGCTAGTATAAAAAATCAAGAAAGATACAGTTATATCTTTTTAGGTTTCACTTATATTTTGTCAGCCTCACAAATTATGAGGATTGGACTTATATACCTAAAAAGCTCTTTGTTTTGCGGTATGGACTGTAACAGTCATCCAAGTTTTTACCTTGTATTTTCCATGTGTATAGAGGAAATGCATATTTTGGGTCACTTTTAGAGGCAGGCTATAAGGCAAAATGGTAACTTAAGTTCATCATTAACAAGCAATAAGAACTTCACTACTAGCCAATGACTTTTCAACATGTAGAGAGATGAAGATTGTAAATGGGAGGATTTTTTGTTTAAGGTCAAATCTGGCAACAATATCTTGATAAAGTAGTGCCTTCTCTTAAGTATAACATTTTACTGAACTTGTACAACTGTTAAGCGGCACTTTTTCACTAAGGCAGTATTGTTGATGAAACTGGGGATGGGGAGCAAGTCTTATCAAGGGTTTCGGTTCAGTACAGCAACAAGTCCACAACTATACTTTCCTACAACACAAACTCTCAGACAATATTTGTCTCCAAGAGGTACTCTTCATGAAAGATCCTCTCAAATTGCATCCTTGTAAGATCAATCGTGGTGAAACGTCCGTCCACAATGAGCTCCATCATGGCTCGACCGATCGCTGGGGCCTGCTGAAGCCCTGTAACAAGCCGTTGCATTGTTGTAACAAGTGATGAAAATGAAAGTCAGCTGTTGTTAAGAACATCACCTGTTATTTGTTAACATAAACCTAAAAGGAGGTTTGCATGTAAAAGGTTGAAATTTCGTCTACAGATTTACAGAATAGGTGATTATAGTCAGTGGCGGTTCTAGGACCTTGTCAAGGGGGGGCTCGGGGGGTGTGGAGCACCCACCAATAAAGCAGGGGGGTCCGGGGGTCCTCCCGCGGGGAAAATTTTGAATTTTCTAAGCCGTTGTGTAAAGAAAAATAAAAACAACTCCCTCCTACTACTTTTATATATTTAAATATTGTATTTAAATATATTTGCTCCTTGCAATGCTCTCAAATGAATCTTTACAAATGTTGGTTGCCCCTGGGTTGGAAGAACTCCAGAAAATAAAAATATCAGACAGAGCTTTTTGGCAGTGGAAGCTTGATGTTATTGAAAAAATATGAGTGGGCCCTGCAAAATATAAATATTCCCAAAAGGTCCTTAGGGGACGCCCTTGGCACTGTTTGTAGTTCTTCCAAAAAAGTAATACCTTTAATGAGAGCAATTTACCAGTCTTAATTCTACACCGAATTTACTTGCTCACTACTACACTAGTGTTTAGTGTTGCACTTAAAAAGGTGAATCTTTTGTAGTGGCCTATTATTTACTGAATTACCTTTTGTTTACCAATTTGATACTATAGCATATAATAAAGAACTACCAGGTTATTGAGAACTAAAAGTGAGTACAATTTGATTTATTAAGCATTATTTAAGATTTACAATGATTCCAGTTTGACAGTTTCTGATTGTGTGGTGCAATATAAAAATATGACCTTGAGTGACACAATCAGACGGAATTGATCTGTCTGAGAATGTTGAACGGATTTATTCAAAGGGGAATATTTGGCGCGGTTTCACACCGATCTCGAAGGTGTCAACGGAGGAGTGGTATTTAATTTAATTTGAGACGACCAGTGCCAAACAAGTCCTGTTCGTTGGCCAACGATGTAAATATGAAGGTCGATTCTCGAAGGTCAACTGATTAAACAGTATTGCGTTTAATCGTAATAATATTTACTGGAACGTTGCTTATTGTTTTATAGCTAATTTGGCACTTTGGCGGTTCGTCTATATGCAAACTGGCACAGCCTCCGATAACACTTCCCGATTCAGCCGAACCAGCAACCTAATCCCTCCTTTGATATTAAATGATTCCCCCAAATTAAAATGCTGATTGTGACACTCTGTAACGAATTGTACTTTTAATAATGACTCTGTGCAAAATTCAAATACTATATAAAAATATTACAAAGCAACTCTGAATTACCCTATAAAAACATTTTCATATATTTATTCTTAATACTATAGAAATATCACAGTCTAATAAATAAAGCGGATTGCAACAATATGAATGGATTTAAAAATCAACAAATTGTGATCGAACCTATGAACATGTGCTTATTCTACATGAATTGACAAAACAAGACAGGAAAATTTACCAAAGTGCGACTCACTGAAAATCTCAATTTAACAAATAAATACACAAAATTACTTACAGTTTGGACGTCCACAAATATAACACAAAGGGGAAAGGATGGGAAAACGTAACTAGCCGGTATACTACAACACGCGATCAATTGAACTCGTGAATCGTTTGAGAAATTTTCAAATGGCGGACTGCGTTTGGCCGGTAACGAACTTTTGCACTTTTTGACAAAAACACTGGTTCTAATTTCCGATCGCGAGGCAATTATATCCCTTAGGGATATAGGCTGAACGACTTTAAGGAAATTTAAGATTGGCCGACCAAACGCCGCGAAATGAATTTAATTTCCACGAACGATAAACAATTTTACCGAACTAGCTACGATGAGACTTGGGTAAGGACTGAGTACTGATTTAAACAGATGGCCGCCCGGCTAAACCTTATCCCCTCTCCGTCTTTAGTGCGTGGTGCATTCTGGTCTATACTGATCTATTGTTGAAACCAGCTGACTGTTCTTCGCATTAACCTGTATTGATTTGTTGCCTTTTACAACAAAATCGGTACAAAATGCCCCCTAGCAGAAAAAAATGATCCGTGATCGGCCCAGGACAGTCAAACCTATCGTACTACCTCGGAGCATTTTTGGCCTAGCCGGTGGACCACGACGATACACATGAACACAATTACAATTTACAATCAACAATAACGACAACAATCAGGCAACAACAATTTAAATAATGGTAACAACAATACTAAACTATTACAATGATCTATTTTATGACAAGGACACCAACTGATCATTTCCTCATTAAACACACAAAGGCATCCCGCGCACAGAATAGACACTATGATTTACCACATGTGGTAATCAGCAGAGCGTGTTGTCCGAGGTGGTGAACAGCTGGGCTCGTACATTGTTGTTGGTCGGCAGCGTAGTGGCACAGGTGTATTGGCTCTAGTGGATCAGTAGCACAGTGACCCAACAATGGTCCGATAGTAGTGCTGTCAGCTGGGGAGGGTGGGGCGGGCGCTCAACAATGGTTAGACAGAGAGCGGCGATAACATTGTTGTCAGTGATGCGATAAGCAGGCGATAACCCTCTCTCGACAGATGGACAATATCTCTTCTGCCGTTTTTATAAGTGTGTTTGAAGTATTCATTCTTCTTTATTGTAGTTAACGGTTGGAATTGTTTATGAAATTGTAACACTCGTACTCTGGGCGGATTATGTAACGATTGTATAAACACATTGATTTGTTTGATTTGGTTTTGATGTTGTGGGTTTCTGTTGAGGGTGGGGGGAATGGTCGAAATTATAATGTCTCTATTGCTGGCTTTAATGAGGGTTGTAATGATTTTAAGATTTGATTTGGTTTGATTCGGGGGTACTTTCTTGAATATATCATTTATGGAGCAGATAATAAAACAGGTTTTGTGGAGATGAGGCAATATGGGTCTTAATGCTGATTTTAAGTCTGTGGTTGTCCAACCGCCTCGGGTCCCACTGGCATTGAGATCAACACTGGGGTCGTCTATAGTCCATGTTTCACACATCCTTCTGGCCTGCGAGTCGCCCAGCACACTTACACCGTTGCACATCATTGATTTTTATTCACTGTCAGGGAAATCACTCACTGTTACTCCAATTTTTCACAACAATATTTATATAATACAATATAAAGATTCTTACGTTACCACATTTAAACATTTAAACACATACAAAACAATACGATACGATTCGATCCACCTACCGCTGATAATATTTTTTCAATTGGCATACATGAACTACTCGATTTATACTGGGATCCTCGACTAATTCAATTCTGACATTTACTGAACTTAACACATTGGTTACGACGTATGGACCTTTCCATGTTTGAGTCAATTTGTGCGATACTTCGTTGGCTTTATTACTTGGTATGTACCTTTTATATAATACCAAATCGTTTTCTTGGAACGGCGATGGATTCCTATTTTTATTATATCTGGCGCTACTTTTGCGATGGGCTGATTTAATATTATCCATGATTTTTGCGATACAATCCTCTGTAACGTCAGTATCGTTTTCGTGATCGATGTCCCACTGTAATTGCAATGGATGATTAATTTCTCGTCCTAAGAAAATTCGCGCAGGCGTCGCTTTGGTTGTTTCGTGGACGGCTGAATTTAAACCCATGTTTAAATATGCGATATTTTCATCCCAGCGTTTTTGTGTTTGCGAATGGAATATCTTTAACGCTATTTTCAGATTGCGATTGACTCTTTCTGACTGATTTGAGTTTGGCCTAGCTACAGAAGTATTGATGTGTTTGATCCCTAAGCTGAACAAAAAACTTTTAAACATTTCTGACTTAAAAATGGA